CTTATCTTTGCTTCTCATAACTTAGATGGAAAGCACCAGTATGAATCCTGTTGTTTTTAACTTTGTTCCTTATAGATTATAGGCGCCTTTTATTTTGAAGATGCAGAATGTTTTCGTAGTGTGGGGACGCCATTAGCCTTCCTGACTCTTACTCTCACGAGCGTGCAGTCTGTTTCCCAGAGGCTCCATGATAGCAGGAGATTAGATGCAGAGGCTGACATGAGAATCAGGTGATCTTTTAAATAGATTTGAAAAAAAATCCACAACTATGCAACTTTCCGTATGTATTGATTTTTGATTTTGGAAAGTGCAGTGCTTTTGTTTGTTTTTAATCACAGAATGAATGAAATATATTTAATTTATTGCTATTTTTAAATGGATTATTAGATCTGATTTTTAAATTTTACTTTGTTTTCTAATTGGTAAGTATCTGTATGTATTCCATTAGACATGAACTCTTGGGTGTTCTCTCTATCCTTTTCTAAGTATAAAGGAGTTTGAGGGGGGCTGGAGAGATGGCTCAGAGGTTAAGAGCATTGCCTGCTCTTCCAAAGGTCCTGAGTTCAATTCCTAGCAACCACATGGTGGCTCACAACCATCTGTAATGAGGTCTGGTGCCCTCTTCTGGCCTGCAGGCATACACACAGACAGAATTATGTATACATAATAAATAAATAAATATATATATATAAAAAAGGAGTTTGAGGCCATGAAGTTTCAGACCTGTCAATTTACAAGATGTCTTTGGCTTTAAGGCAAATAGCCCTTTACTTTCTTTTTTCCCCAAATAGTGTACTTTTCTATGTAATACGTATTTTTTTTCTCCCACTGTGCTTGTGACAGTTAGTTGAGCAATGCTGACAGAAGACCTTAACTAATTAGGTTTAAGGCATGCAATAGCCACACATAAATTAAGTGGAATTCTGTAGTCGATAATCACTGGTGACGTAGGGATGCTTCTCAAGCAAGAGTTCCTGAGCTTCTTGGGGGGGAAAAGTAAAAGGGCTGTTCTAAGACTTAGCTCTTTCTGACCTGGTTGAAATGATGGCAGAAGAGGAGAGTAATGTGTAACCTTTTGTTATTGTGACATGATGATGTCACCTATAGGGTTCACACTAGAGAACCACACAGTTCAATTACCAAAAATAAATAAATAAATAAAACCAAAAGAATAATATTCTGGGCCTGCCTTATGCACATCTATGTTCTCTTAACATCAGGGCAGAATACCTATGTAAATTTGATATTTTTCTGCATGGGAGATTTCCCTCTGTTCTTTTATTTTTTCAATAATATATAGTAGTATGGGTGCATAGATTTTTATACTTAAGATTATAGATCACTTTTATTTTGTTGCTTAACATAGTCTAATAATGAATTAGGTCTTTCAATTAGCTCCATGCCTCTTTGAGTGTGGACCAGTTGTTTGAGTACTACCTCTCTGACACTGAGATCCAGTAAGCTCATATTTCCTGCCCAGTCCTAATGTCAACCACATCTCCTAGCATTGCTTCCTTTGATTGCAGAAAATATACCAAGATCTTGTCAGCAGGGTGTCTTTGGGTGTTTCTCTAGAGGTGTTTCTTTCAGGCCCTTTCAGCTGACAGAAAAAGAAATGTGTGTGTATAGTAACTCATGAGTATGTACATACGTATAGTATGCACATTTCTGTGTGGAACCATCTGTGTTTACAGCAAACCAAGCATGAGTTCTCACATTTTCAACTGTAATCCATCATTACTTGGATCATGCTAGTCACAGCAGTGAGAACCCTACCATATGTTCTCTGCTTGCTTGTTACACGTACCGCAGTGTCAGAATTGTTGACCTGGCCCCCGTGGGAAGCAGCTTTATCAGAGTACAGTGTTTATGTGTACTTCTTTTTGTTTTCATCTTCACAGACCCCTTTCATTTCTACCCTTGCTTATTAATCACCTTTTTTCTCTGTCCAACTCTGTTAGTAAGACTGTTCCATACATTTGTGCTGCAGTTATATTTTATTGTTAAAAGTCTGTATATTGTCGTAAGACCTCCTAAATGATTTGCAAAATTTTCATAATTAAGATTTACTCTTTTTTTGTTGTTTAAAGTGCTGAGTTTTAGCTGCTCACATCCTTGATCCCAGCACTTGGGAGGGAGAGGCAGGTGGATCTCTGTGGGTTTGAGGCTAGGCTGGTCTACAGAGCAGGTTCCAGGGCAGCCAGGGCTACCCAGAGAAACCCTGTTTTGAAAAACCAAAATAAATAAATAATAAAGTACTGAGTTTTGATTAAAAGGCATATAGTATGGTGTCTTTGCTGTTATATAATGTCATAGAGAACAATCTCAACTCCCAAAGGGCTGGTGTTTCATCTACTAATCCCTTGTCTAGACCTCAACCTCCTGATAATATGGAGTAAGCTCTGCATACTTTTGCCTTTTACTTGATGTATTTGTAACTATATAGGACACAAACTTTCAGACTGTCATTTTTCGCTTAGCAATATGCATTTAAAGTGCTCTCTGTCTCTGTATATGTGTGTGTGAGAGAGAGAGTTTTTTTTTTTTTTTTTAGTAATAATACCTTATATATAGGGATCAACCATAGTTTATCCATCTATGTATTGAAAGATGTCTGGGTTGTTCTGGTTTTGGCCAATTAGGAATAAATGATATAAACAATATGTGAGGTTTTGTTTTTAGGTCAGTTTCCGAACCAAATGGATAAGTACAGAGTATGATTGTATTTTTTTTTTTATGCTCAGAGTATGTTTAGTTTTGTGAGAAGTTCCTAAAGTGCCTATAACTGTTTTACCCTCCCAGCGTCAGAGCATGATTTTCTGAGTCTCTCCTGACTTATGATGTCCCACTTGTGTGGATCAGTGTTCCGATACACAGGACTGCTTCGTGCTGTGTGTGCAGGTCTACAGTGATGGTCAGCGTTGTTGTTCATGGTTAGGTGCTGTCTTTTTGCTTTTCCAGCAAAGCACGTGTTCAGGTCTTTGGTCCATTTTTAATTTAGTTGTTTAGTGTCTTATGGTTGAATCTTAAAGCTTTACATGTTGCATTAAGTATATCCTGTATATGTGTTCTGTGGCTTGACGTTGTTTTCATAACATTTCTTGTAGAGCAGAAGTTTTAAGTGAATTTAATAAGGTACAAACAAGTTTTTTTTTTTTTAATGGATTTCGTTTTTGGTGGTGTATCTGAAAACTCATTAACCAAGCCACTATCACCCAGATTTTCTCTTTCAAATGCCAAGTTCCCTAGTATTGATTTTGACATTTGGGTCTGTGATCCATTTTGAGCTCAGTATTATGAAAGGTGTCAGGTTTGTCTTGAGTTTTGGTTTACATGTAGATGTCCAGCTGTTGAGCCCTTACCTTTCCCCATTGAATTGCCGTTATTCTTTGTCAAAGGTTATTATGTTTGTGTGGATTTATTTAGTCTGATTTGTCGACTTATTGTTCTGTCAAGACAACCACACTGTCTTCATTTCTCAGTAGAGTTAAGTGTCCTGAGCCTTTTGTCTCTCATATCCAACTTCAAAATGAATTTGTCAGCACTCATAAAACAGCTTGTTGCAGTTCTGATTGGGATTGTACTGTCTGTGCGGCAACCTGAAAAGAACTGGCATTGTAACAATTCTAATAAAGAAAAATGTGGGTCTTCTTTGATTCCCTTCATAGATATACTTTTCTATGTATAGATTGTGTACATGTAAGCTTTAAACTTACCTTTTCTTCATTGTGTTTTAAATTTTATATTCTAGTCATTATTATAAAGGAAAATCATTTCACATCTTAACCTTTCATTCTAGGCTTTGCTATAGTTACAGTTTTTTTCTTGGTTCTTTGGATTTCTACCGTCGTATCATCTATAAAGAAATGTAACATGAAGGGCCGGCTTGTTGGGGTATCTGCCCCGCCTGGTACCCCACAGCCAGGAAGCCCCAAAGAAAATCACACAGAGGATTCCATAAGATTATAAACTGATTGGCCCATTAGCTCAGGCTACTTATTAGTTCTTATAACTTATGTTAGCCCATTATTTTTATCTATGTTAGCCACACAGCTCAGTACCTTTCTCAGCGTGGGAGCTCACATGTTGCTTCTTCGGTGATCTGGGCTGAACTGGTGAGAACTGGACTTCCTCCTTCCCAGCATTCTCCTGTTCTACTTCCTGTCTTGTTTACCCGCCTATACTTCCTGCCTGGCCAATCAGCGTTTATTTAAAACATGATTGACAGAATACAGACAATTCTCCCATACCAAAGAAAGACATTGATTTTTGTGTTCTTTGCTCTGAACTAATTCCCCCTCATCTCTTTTCTCCTCCTTTCCTTTTTTTCCCCTTCTTTTTCCTCTCCTTTCTTTCTTCCTTCCCTTTTCCACCCCTTTCCCTCAGGACTTGTGCATCTATTCCCGTAGCTCCCTTTATTCTGTTCCCCTGTCTTACTATGTCAAATCTGATACTGAGTAGAGTTGGCTGTGCTCATAATCCTGAGTGGGGAAGGAGAGGGAACCGTCCAGTTTATTAATGTTAACTGTGCTTCTAACAATGGTTGTTGTATATGTTACTAATCTGCTCAAGAAGTCTCTCTCTTCCCTGTCATTGGTAGAAGTGTTGGCCAGCTGTTGGGATGCGTCCTATATTTCCTGAACTGATGAATATATCACAATGTTTTCTTTTTATTGTCCTCTGGATGAGGTGGATCACGTTATTTGCCTTCCTTTATTTTTCCCCTTCTTTCACTCTTTTCCTCTCCTTCCCTTTCTCTTCATTTCTCCTTTCTCTTCATTTCTCCTTTCTCTTCATCCCTCTTTCCTTTCTATCCTTCTCTTTTAAAAAAAAATGAGTTTTTCATGCTAAAGCACTCATTATCTGTATGGTGGTCACAATGAAGCACAGTTTTAGAACGTAATAACATGAATAAAATAAAAGATTATTTAGATTAAGAGATGTTTTTAATATAAAGAAAATGACTCCCTGTTGATGTTTCTATGCCTGCTTTCTCATAGGCAGAGTACCCTGCTAATGGACCGGAGTGTGGTTATGGCTCCTTTCACCAGCAATACTGGCTCGATGGGAAGATCATTGCCGTTGGTGTGATTGACATCCTCCCATACTGTGTGTCTTCCGTGTATCTATACTATGATCCTGATTACTCATTTCTGTCTTTGGGTGTCTATTCAGCATTAAGGTAAGACTGTGAGACTGCTTTGTACAGTTGTAATGAGTTTCATGGAGGTTCAAGTAATTACTCATTCTGTGCATATTTCATTATGTAATAGTAGGAATCTGTTTTATTGTATAATAATTTGCTGCTGTAGTAGTTCCCTTCGCTGTGCATTAATATTTAAAAGTAACAGTTTTAGGAGGCTAGAGAGATGATTCAGCAGTTAAAAGTACTTCCTGCCTTTTCAGAAGACAGGAATTCAGTTGACAGCACCCACAACCCACATCTAGCTGCTGACAGCTCCGGGGAATCCTGCTGGTCCTCTTCTGGCCTCTATAGGAATTTGCATGTAACACACATGCACACACACACACACACACACACACACACACACACACACACGGTGGGGGGCAGATGGTTGGGGAAGAGAAGAAAATAAACCCCTCTCTGTAGTGATATTTTATTTGTAATCTAACAAATAAAGCTTGCTTGAAGATCAGGGTATAAAGCTAGTCTCACTAGTCAGCCATGCAGGCCAGGCTGTGGTGGCACACCCCTTTAATCCCAGCAGCCACTAGTTAGCCATAGACGTATGGCAGTGGTGGTGGGCACCTTTAATCCCAGCACTAGAGAGGAATCTAAGGTGGGATGAGACAGGAACTTACACTTTCGGTCTGAAGATTTCGTAGAGGTAAGAGCTCTCTAATAATTGTCTGCTTTGCGTCTCTGATCTTTCAGAGAAGATGTCTGTCTGAGTTTTTATTAGTTGTGCTACATCTCTCAAAAGTAACAGCTTTAGAAATGATATCACAGTTTGATGTTCATTTTCTAGCTTTTAATGTCTCTGTAGGCGCTAGAGTGAGTATAAGAAATCATGGTGGACTTTTCTGAGATGGCTTAGGATGTAAAATGCTTTCTGGGTAAGCCCAGTGTCTGAAATTTCATCTCCAGGACTCATATGAAGGTGCTAGGATAGAACTGACTCTAAAAAGACCATAGTATGTCCATTACCTCCACTCCCACCATTCACAAAATAATATTTTTCTAAAGGAAACCACATGTTTGGAGATGTTTATTGTTAGGCAATCTTGTGGGACCACTTACATATTTGGTTTGCTAATGATTTGCAAAAGTGTCAAGAAGCATGTGGTTATGTCGGCACACAGACCAGCAGTGGGGAGACCTGACTATCTGCTGGTGTCTGTGACCCTCCTCAGAAAATGGTTTCCCATTTGTGGCCATAGCCGCAGAAACGTGTCACATAGCACGGATATCTTTAATGGTGAGAAGGTTTCGTTGGGAGTGTCTTCTCTGGAATATTTGTTTCTGTTCTTATTCCTACTTACCTATATGTGTATGCAGTACAATAAAAGAAAGAGGTTTGGAAACTGTTTTGCTTTTGTTTTTTTTTGTTTTTGTTTTTCCCTTTGTGCTTTTCTCACTGTGTTCCCTAGTGTTTGTGTCTGTTACTTACATTCTTACACCATTATGTAGTATATTGCCAGGTTATCTTAGTTTATCTTGTATATGTAGTATTTTCCTGAATTACTAAAGTAGAAAGAAGCCTTGATACTTTTCTTTAAATTATCAATTTGAGTTTTACAAATTGGGCTAATTTTTTGGCCTGTGTCTTAGTGCTCATCTTGACATTTCCTGCCAACCTTTTCTCCTAACATTAATGTGTCAAAAACAAATTTACAGTTTTGCAGTATTTTTTAACTGATCTCTGACAACCTTTTTTCCTGTGTTTTGAATTGTACTGTACATGAACTAATTTAAAGACTAGAATATCTTAGATAGAGGTAGTGAGAGGTGGTCAAATTCAGGCTGCATTTTGAAGACCGAGCCCAGGAACTTGTTGGAGCATTGGACACGGGTGTGGAGGAGTAGTTGAGGATGGCTCACGGACTTGAGTCAGTGGTGGTGCGGTGATCCCAAAGCAAGAGGTGCCATCTGGACTATCTGGGGTGTAGTCAAGAGTTATTGAGTATGGATGGATGCGGGGGCTCTTGCATTTATTTGATTCTTTCCTCAGTTTGAATCTTGAAAATAGATTAGTCCTAGGAATAGTAACATATAGTCTGTTATAGAAGCATTTTAAATAATTTTTGGATAACTTTTCAAAGATTTTAAATTTGTACTGGAGAAGTGAATAGAGTAGTCCTTTAAACATGGACTTTCTCTACTGGACAAGGTGGCCTATGCCTGTGATCTCAGCACTCAGGAGGCTGAGATAGGGGAGTGAGAGTCTGAGGTCAGCATGGGCTGTGCAGCAAGTTCTGGGGTAGGCTACACTGCATAAAGAAAGCCTCTCTAACAGAACAAACAGAACCTCTTGAATTTTATATATCCATTGCTGCTACTAAAAAAAATAAAAAGAACAAGGAAACTCTCAAAAGACAAAACCACCATTCTTCTTGCTTTAGAAATTTAAATTTATTGAAACTCTCATATACAGCCTGCTCATTTAGCTAGACAAGTAGGGGAAATTTTGTACCAAGATTTATCTTATTACAAATTACAACCACTTTGCACATAAAGCATTTCAGTGGAGATTGAGCTTCTTTGTTCCAGCAGCCCTCATCCCTGCTAACAAGGCATGGAGGGAGCCTGTGGTATTGTCCCTCTCATTTAGGGAAACGGTATAGAAACTGTGCTTCTAGTTACACAGTAAGTTGTGAATCAGATACAGTCGAAAGGGTTCTGTGTAAATCATATATAATTTTTCCTGACATGTATCAGCTATTAAGTTTTAAAAAATGTTGTGCTTTTAAAACAGCCCAAATTCCTTGAACATTTTAGAACATACTGAATAATATCATAGATATCTTTATTTTCATCTTCTGTTGGTTGATCAGCTCTTTTGCCCAGTAAAGTATAAAATATGAACTTAGATATATTTATTCAAAGTAATTTTGAAATTTTGGGACTATTTCTTTAGTAATTATAATCTTGTGGTTTAAAAATCATTTGTCTTCAAGATCTTCTGAGTAAACTGGGTACATAGGGACCATGGAAAAGGGTAGAAGGGGAGGGGAGAGAAGGAGGAGAGTGGGGAGAAATATATAGTTCAATAAAAATAATTTAAAAAAAGAACATTTGTCTTGCTGGATGTGGCAGTGCACACCTTTGGTACCAGCACTTGGGAGGCAGAAGGAGGCCAGTCTCTGTGTTCGAAGCCAGCCTGGACTATAGAGCAAGTCCCAAACAGTCAGAGCTAAACAGAGAAACCTGTCTCAAACAAACACACAAAATCATTTCTCTTTTAAGAACTGGGTATTTTGATATTTTCCATTAGATTTTATTACATAGATTCTTTTTTAAATTGAAACAGGAATTAACTGTACAGTTACTTTTTTTTTTTTGGCAGAGAAATTGCTTTTACTAAACAACTGCATGAGAGAACATCGCAACTCAGCTATTACTATATGGGTTTCTACATTCATTCCTGTCCCAAGATGAGATACAAGGTAATGTCAGTTTCATGCCTGTTTTCATTATAGAAGATAAATTTTCAGTAAGTGCATCCCGGGGCAGAGGATTTGAGGTGTGTAGTGGTGGGGATGGGTTATTAAGGAGGCCTTTTGCTCATTCATAAGGAGTTCTTTCTGAATTGAGAATCACAGCCTCCCTGTGCTCACAGGGATCTCTTAAGTTAGTATTAAGTATATTTTGTTGCAATTTCCTTTTAAAAAACAGTTGTCAGAGGCTCTTTAGTGAAAGCCGTTGATTTTCCTAAGTGCTATATGGATCTGCAGAGGACCAGCCGTCCCTGCCACTGTGACCACCACTTCTGTCTGTTTCACTGTGTGGTGCTTAGCTCTGAGATGCGTGGAGATGGAGATATGTAATGCAAGCGATGCTGGAGGAACCTTAGAATAAAAATGGGTCATAAAGTGGTTGATAGATGGCCTACAAGGAATGGGGGATTTTCTTCCAGAGTGGAGGAGAAAGGAAGGAAGGGCTCAAATAAAGAGTAGATGTGATGGAGACACACAGAGTCCAGGGAGAGATGCTGGTAAGTTAGGGGTCAAAGTGCCAAACCCATGAGGCCTTCATAGGAGAAAGAACAGACACTCCTGTCCTGTTTATAAGCAAGATTTATTTATTTATTTTAAAAACAATGTGAAACAGCTTAAAAACATGCAAAAACAAAATCTGTCCCCTGGGCTCCCTGTGTGTCCTCTGCTCTGCAGTTACTCCCCTGTCTCCTCTCACCGCTCTTTCATTCCACTCCCACCCTCATCTCCTTTTGAATTATTTTGGAACATAATGAGGATATCCAGTTTTTGGAAGACAGGGTCTAATACAACAATAGCTGGCCTGGAATTTGATATGTAGAATAGGTTGGCCTCAAACTCTAATCGACCTGCTTCTGCCTCCCAGGTACTGAGATTAAAGATTTGAGCTGCCATGTCAGACAGCTATGATATCTTCTTTACTGAAGAATCCAGGACTGTTTTTCCCCCTCTTGTATTTTGAGGTACTGGGAATCAAACCCAAAACCTTGCAACTAACACTTCCTAGTTTTTATTGCATTTAAAAATATTGCTCATGAACTTTTTTATTTTTAAAAAGCTGTCCTAGTGGATGGAGATATAGCAGAGTGGTTAAGAGCACTGGCTGCTCTTCCAGAGGACCCAGGTTTGATTCTCAGCACCCACATGGAGGCTCACAACCATCTGTAACTCCAGAACTGGAAGACTGAGCATCTTCTTTGTCCTTTCCAGGGATCAGGTGTGCACATGGTGCATGTGTATACATGTAGACAGAACATTTGTACACATGAAATAAAATAAGTCTTTAAAAAAACCCTAAATTCTTTATTTTTTTTTTAATTGAGCAAAGATAACATGAAGACTAGCATTTACATACGGGGATTTCTTCCTGGCCTTTTTGGTGTGTTTTTGAAATCATGTAACCCGAGAAAGTCTTTTGAAAAGTCAAGAAATTGGGGAAAATATGTAATTCTTCCATAAAGTTAAAATTGAAAAATCTACATTAAAATGTTACTATTTTGTGAGTCAGGCATGGTGGTATACATCTTTTATCCTAGCACTCAGGATCTCTGTGAGTTTGAGGCCAGCCTGATATACAGACTGAGTTCCAGGACACTCAGGACTACACAGAGAAACTCTGTCTTGAAAAACCAAAAGAAAAGAAAAAAGGAAAAAGACGTTACTAGTTTGAGGTATCCTGTGTCAAGTGGAAGGAAGATCTAGAGACATGACTGAGGGAGCTGACAGCTGATATGACATTGGAGGAAGAAGGACAGGATTATGGTAGAGGAAGCTGTTGGATCTAATCAAAGAGTCTTGCTTATGGTTGCTGCCGTTAAAAGTAGGACATGGAGCTGTTTGTTGTTAACAGTGTAAATAGTGTTATAACTATAATTAGAATTTTAAAATGTATACAGTTAGGTATGATGGTACACACCTGTAATCCTAGCAACTTGGAAACAAAAGAATACTGTCAGATTGAGGCCAGCGTGGGCTACACATTGACTATGTCCCAGGCCATCTAGGGATAAACAGGAAGATAATGCCTCAAAAGACAAAATGAAAAGACAAAAGAGGACCAGTGGGAGAGAGTTCAGCAGATAAAGACACTTAACTCTCTCATGCTGTCTTAGAGTTCAGACCTTAGGACTCACATAGCAGAAGGAAAGAACCAGCTCCTGCAAGTTGTCATTGCAAATGTGTACACACACACACACACACATACACAATAGATAAAGTATTCTTTAAAAAAGAAAAGTATATATACTAAGGTATCTGAGTAATGTTTCAAGAAGTAATAAGTTTTGGAGGCAAATAATTATAAATTGGCAATTTGAACTTACAGTTTTGTGTAATACTGTTGACCTACTACATTCCAAATGTTAGGTTATCATAACAGTACCAAATAAGGTTTACTGGCAGCTTCCATTATTTCAATACTTGTAAATAGTATTAAGCTTAATATTTCTTATGTGTTCACTGCTTTTAAAGGTATCTATAATAGTGAGTGAAAATGTAACTTGGAATTCCAGGAATTTTCCTTCTCCAGAACCTCCAAGTCAGTATCTTCAGAATTTGGAAACATCATCAAAACTGTAAAATAAGATAGATGACAAGAGACTAATTGGACATCAAATAAACCTTTAACTTTTTGTCCAGTTAATTTGTGCCCTCATTTTACCTTCTAGGGCATGATGTATCATTGACTAACAATACATGTTGTGTCATTAGTGACTTTGTATATCTCTGTGATGATAATATTAATCTATTTTGTAAAGCCAGCACTTGCCTGGAATCACTGTGTTTGAGTACTTGGGTTTTAAAGAACATATTGATTTTAATTTTTATATTGTTAGTTTATATTGTTTCTTAGGAGGGCTGGGGTGATTGCTCAGTGTGTAAAGCTCTTGCCACATGAGCACGAGGATCTGATTTTGCTACCCCAGCACCTATGTAAAGAGCTAGGTGTGGTGGCATATGTCTGTAACCCAGTGCTGGAGTGTAGGGATAGGCAGATAGGGCTTGCTGGCTAGCCAGTCTAGCCAACCCAGTGGGCTACAAGTTCAAAGAGAGACTGCATCTCAAAAAATAAGATATAGATAGAGGAAAATGTCTATCATACACTAAGGAAATTTAGTGCATAAAGCAGTACCAAGTGCCCTTAACTATGCTCAAAGATACATTAATGTTTCATTTGTATTTTTTGTACGAATTGGTTCAGATTAAGTTAGCAGTCTTTGCTATATCTATTTGCTATATAAAATATATTACATGTACAAAAGTAGGTCTGATATTGACAGAACAGCTTATTTTACCTGCGTTATGTTACTGACTAAGAAACTGTCATAAAGTCATGCTTAAATGATGATTCTTTTTTTTCTATGTAGAGATGACCAGAGGTTTTTATGATCACTGCCTTTCCTTGCCCATCAGAGCTAGTGTCCACTTGCCTTTCCTAGTTGGGACTTTCCATGGCTAATGGATACCATGTATATAATTGTTTAGGATTTCTGGGCTACAGTCTTACAGGACTGTTGTTTTTCACTTTCATCTTTGGAGCCAGATGTAATGTAAAAGATTCAACTGCTCTACTGTAGAATATTTTAGTGCAGCTGCATGATTGAACCCAGGAGACCAGTGGCGAAACACCAACTGAACTCTAGTCTGCCCAGAGTCCTGAGCTACGAATTACTGTTTTAGGCTGCTGAGTGTTGGGATGGTTTGCTATTCAGCAGTGGATGAGGGATATAGAAGTCATACTTCATCCTGTGTTGATTGTGCAGGCTCATGTCTTAGAATAAGCTGATCTGGGCATTTGTTACGGTGGTTCAAGTAATAGGTTTTGCAAAGCCATTGAGTTTCTCTGTGGTTATACCAGAAATGCTGTGTGGTTTATGAGAGTTCATCTTACAAGGTTTTTGTTGAATGTTCTTATTTAGCCTGCAAGTTGTCTTCACTTGTCACCAAATTTTGTTTTTTCTTGAGTTGCTAATGATGACCACTACAGGATGAAATCATCTATGATTATCCTCATAGTTATATAAGCAGCATGTGTTACAGCAACTTCTCCTTTCTGCTTATGGTTTCTTCGTTTACAGCATTTAGGTTACCTAAGATGGTTTTGGTTAAAGACCAAAACCATCTTAGGTATGGGTGTCTTACCTCTATTTATGTCTGTGCATCACTTGTGTACCTAATGCCTGAGGAGGCCAGAAGAGGGCATTGGACCCCCTGGAACTGGAGTTACAGACAGTTGTGAGTTGTCATGTGGGTGCTGGGAATTGAACATGGGTCTTCTGGAAGAGCAGCTAGTGTTTTTAACCACTGACCCATTTCTGTAGCCCTTATATTTTATTTTTAATAGTGCCATTGGTATAAATGTGTTTCTGTGGCCATAGGCTACCTTTGTAACTTCTAGTGATATGGAGTAAGCCTTTACTAAAACCAGATCCTTTCAGCTTTTTTTTTCAGAGTTTTGCTTTGTGCATAGTGAACCTATTTTCTTTCTTTCTTTCTTCCTTTCTTTCTTTCTTTCTTTCTTTCTTTCTTTCTTTCTTTCTTTTCGTCCCATCTTTGGTGTGTTATTCTCTCAATTTTCTATATTAACTCACATCTCAATATTTAATCCTTATCTATCAATCAATACACTTTTTCTATATGTGATAAAAAGGAGTTTTTACTTAAAATATTTTACTTACTTTGCTAAAGCTTAAAAATGCATTTTCCAATGCTTTCCTAATGCTCACTATTTACATATAAAGCTTACTTTATTTTTTTTCATCTGCTTCAATATATTTAAAAACTGCTTGTTTACTTTTGAAAGTGGAAGTTGGAGTATCCTGAAGTGTTGTTAGGTGTAATTTAAAATACTGTGTTCTCCATGTTATCCTCAGTGCTGCTGAGAGGCTGTTGTGTATTCTGAAAGGCGTGTTTTGATGAGGTCCTTTAAGCAGACCTGTATGCAGGCCAGA